CCTGTCCTATCAGGACCCAAGCAGGGGTGATGCCAGCACCCATGTCAGAGGGGCATAAACCTTTGTCTCTGCTACTCAGCTTGTCTTTCCCACTTGCGGGCCTCTCCTCTCCTGTGCATTCCTCCACTGTACGGAAAGGCCCAGGAACGGACTTCTCTTCGCATAATACAGGTCTGTTTATACTTGGCTGGTATTTTCTTTTTTGGGTGGTCGGCACGTCTAACACCTACCATCTCCCTTTTCCTTAATTTCAAACTCCGTTAAAAAAAATAAGAAGAAGAAGAAAGAAAACATAGGATGGCCAGGGAATCACACTTGGAATAAAGGGAGTGTACCTCAATTTAATAAACTGTTAATATTTTGAAAGCTTTATTACTGATGAGTAACAAACCACTTGCAATGATTCCACTTACTATAAATGACCTAGGATGCGACTGTACAGCCAGAATCTCCTCTTAAATGCTTCATGAAGTACGTGAACAAATCACAAAATCAAGATGTTTTAAAAAGCCCCTTTTTCAATGTTCTTTACAAAGCAGTCCTATTGAATTCTGGGGGGAGTGTAATAAAAACAGAGTTCACAAAAATCCCTTCTTCCTAACTTTGGTTTACAATCCTGTTTCAAAGGCTGAAACATCCAGGCTCGCTTCAGGACTGGGCGCCTAAGCATCAGAGCTCAAGACAGCAGGCAAGTACTGTACTGGTTTTCTCTGACTTAGAATCCACTTGCTGCCTTGCCGAAGGGGTATTATAGCATTAAGAAACCATGTCTCAAGGGCGCAGGCTTACGTGTGGGGTTCATAGGATACATATTAAAACTCTGGCTCTTCTCTTCCCAGTTTCTCCCTCTTTCAAATTGGTCCAATCAATCACGACCACAATGTATGCAGAATGCCTGAGAACATCTGTTACCCAGTAGGCATTCAATAGATGGAAGCTGCTCATATTCTTATGATTCAGTTCTACCAGAGGGAGAACTTATATAATACCATCACAAGTCTCACTATATCACAGCATTTAATTTATCACGTCAACAACACCTGAATGTGCCAAGCATTGGGCCACCTGGCGCAACGTTAGGTTACTCAGAGAAAATGTGCACATTCCAGAAACATACAGGTAACAAAGGCTTGCCTCGACATAGCAACGTCATAGGGTGGTATTCTAAGAATGAATGAATAGGCTTCCATTGATTGAATAAAACCAAAAGTAAGTTATGCCTGAAATGTAACCATATCCTGGTCTTCCAATGTAAACAAAAAGCATCCACTCCAATGGGATGCGCAATAGTCAGGAATCATCAAGATTTACATACGAGTCTGTACTCCTCTTTAGAAAACAGGACGAAAGGTGACAAGCAAATAAACACAAACAAAACCACCCCTAGGATACAACACTAAAAGGCGATTTTTCAGCAATCACTTTCCTCTGAGTCCATCAGCATTCCTCAGAGTGCACCCCGGTGGCGTTCCCTTCCACAGCTTGTCTCTCCTCCCCAGCGCTCCCCACGGCCTGTCAACTGCCTGCAGCCAGTCTGCTGGACACTCTTCCCTGCCAACACAACTACCCCTCTTTTCTAGTGCCCAGCACAAGTGTTCTCCCAGACTGCTCCGGGCTCAGCCTCCTTATTTCTCCACATATACGTACTCATGAACACCTGGTCTTTAATCCCGGTTCCAATTCTCCTACTGATTTTTAGCTTTTGTATTGCCATTGTTCTCTGGAAATCCCCACAGAGATGACTCGAACGACCAACATTACTGAATGCTTGCTAACACACTTATTTAGCACTGTGCAAAGACAAAGTTCCCACACACCCTGGCTTCCCTGCAGAGACCACGTGGGTCTTCACGCCATGCCAGCTTCCTTTTTTCATCATAATCCATCTTTGCAAAGATGGCGGCAGTATCTAAAGGGATGCGACATCATACACTGCACGTAGGAGTTATACTGAGCTAATGGCTCACAAGATGTCTGTCAAGTGTCAAGTCCTACTGTTTCCCTAGAAAGTTTAATATTTAAAATGGCCCATGGCACCTGCTAGTGGCTGTGGCCCCCGGAGCTCCTAGGTACCCGGATGCCCTCAATGTCTGCCCACATTCTACCCCATTCGCAGCAGTTCTCATCCTTAACTGAGCAGGACAGAGACACCGCATGGTTTCTCCAACATCAGTCACAGAGTAGAGGGGCAGAGACAGCATTCAGACTGAGGCGGTCTGGCTCCACAGCCCAGGCCCCCACCCACATGGCTAGCTGGGCACCCTGGAGCTCACGCCTCACGGGCAGAGCTAGTGTCCCTTCTCACTGTGGCTACTCCTGTTACACTTGTGCTCCCACTTCGCCCTTCCATCTGTGGCCTCCCCAGTCTGCTCACTGCAGGGACAGGCAGCATTACACTTGGAGTGTTCCTTGCTATCTCCAAGTAGACTCTGCTAAATACTGAAAAACTAAACAAAGCAATAATCCAGGGAAGACTGTTTTCTCAAAAACTGCATAGGAAACTTTTATGCCCATGTCAGGTTTAAAAAAAAAAAAAAAGACTGTAGGGGCTGGCAGTGTGGCACAGTGGGTTAAGCTCCAGCCTGTGACGCAAGCATTCCGTATAGACACTGGTTTGAGTCCCAACTATTCCATTTCAGATCTAGCATCCTGTACCTGGAAAGCATCAGATGATAGACCAAGTATCTTGGCCCCTGCCACCCTCAGGTGAGAGCCAGAGGGAATTCCCGACTCCTGGATTTGGCCTGGCCCAATCCTGGCTTTTCAAACCACTTGGGGAGGGAACTAACAGCTGGAAGAGCTCTCTAACTCCTCCTGCTTCCTATGAGCTCGAAAAGTTGAAGGCAACATCAACACGACTAAAGAGCTTAGTCTTGAACAGGGTAGAACACTACAGGCTAGCTTTAACCGAAGGGAGAAAACAGGTGTAGTAAGAGAGAGCAAGGCTTATGGGAAGTTAGAAGGTAATTCTGACTGAGGGTTTAGGCTATCAGGAAGAGGTGGAACTTGGCTCAGTCCTAAAGTGGAGGCACAGCATATGAGAAGCGGAAGGCCACTACAAGAAATGAGCAAAGGTGGTAACGTGCCCGGAAGCAGCTCGTCCCAGACACTGCACAGACACAGCAGAATCACACGGGGCAGAGCTGAAAGGGGAGAGGTAGGGCTAAATGCACACAACCATGAATTCCCGCCCATGGCTTGGATTTTGATACTCACTCATCAAACAAGTACTTATCTCCAACAGGCCAGACTGTGGGTTAAGCATTAGGGACACAGTGGGGAGCAAAGAGGGACATTGACCTGGTCCCACGGAGCTCAGTGTCTAACAAAGGTAGAAGGACCTATCAGACACGCTGGAGAGGACTGTCACCAACAGAGTTGTACCTAACGTCATTCCGGCTTCAACAGGTAAGATTCATTACATGAGGGAAGAAACAGAAAGATGTCCCTCAGACTCTGGTGTCATCCGAGCAGCAACGGTCACCAGGGAGCAGGAGACACCGGGCAGGGCTCAGGACTTTCCTCTGCCGCTTCCTGGACACCCTTCTGTTCCCAAGCGCTCTCTTCCACCGACAACTTGTCTCCTCCTACACATTCTCGGTCTTCCCTCCCCTCCACAGTCAGCCCTGTATCATGAATTTATGCCATTCATGCATATCACCACGACAGAACTTCTTAGGATAAACAGTATCTTAGAATATATATTCTCATGAAGCAATGCTCAAAAAAAAAAAAAAACCAAATGAATACAATCTTAGTGTTGAAGTAGCCAAGTCTTTGTGTTCACACTGATTCTTACCTCAGGCAACTTGTGCAATGGGAAAAAAACTTTCACATCACAGGCAGAATCAAGATTTCCTTGCCCGGGTTCAATGACGCACTGGATTCTTTCCTTAGTAACCTTCCTTTCAGATCTACCTAATACTCTGTTTTATAGAACTATCAACAAAAGAGAATGGTTGTTCTTAGGTTGCAAAACTACGATTCTACTGAGTTAAAAAATTTCTACAGGGCTTGATGTGATTGCCTAGTAGATAAATTCTTGCCTTGTAACTACTGGCATTCCATATGGGCACTGGTTCATGTCCTGGCTGCTCCACTTCCCATCCACTCCCTGCTTGTGGCCTTGGAGAGCAGTAGAAGGTGGCTTAGCACCTTGGGACCCTGCACCCACGGGCAAGATCCAGAAGAAGCGCCTGGCTCTTGGCTTTGGATCAGCTCAGCTCTGGCCATTGTAGCCACTTGGGGGAGTGACCCAACAGATGGAAGATCTTTCTTTCTGTCTTTCCTTCTTTCTGTAAATCTGACTTTACAGTTAAAAAAAAAACTAAAAAACTCTACAAAAATGTCATTTTGATAACATGGACAAAAAAGTCTAAGCTTTAAAGGAAACCTAAACAACACGGTCATGAGACCCAACAAATAACTAATAGAAAGCTTCTGGAGTTGTGAGGTCAGAAGCAATGCAGAGTGATCAATTTCTCCTTGCCATCTCAATGAACAGAGAATTCCCCGATGCCAACAGCTGCGTCCTGTTCATCTCTGCATCTTCTGGGATTACCCGTTAGCACTCGACCTGGCACACCGCACTCAGAAGGTGAAAGAACACACATTCAGCAATAAAAGAGTACTGGAAAGTAGCCAGCATGCTTTCAGTCACTCCACCTCGGAGCATCTCTTTTTCAGAATGAACTTGGAGAATACTTTTCACACTGTTAGCTGCCTCAGGGGCGAGGAGGGAAGGGAAACAGACTGGACACTGGTCCTTCTTTGACAAAGCCCAAGGACCGGTTGGAATGGGTCACACGCTTGGCACAACGCGACAATCACTAACAGGGAGTGCTCCTGTTCCTGTACTCCTGGTGGTAACTCATGCTCTCTATCACCTGAAAGAGTTCCCCCAGATGCTGTTACCTTCCCACGGCCGAAGCCCCAGGCCTGCACCATCCAGCACACAGTCCCCTTCGGCCCCCCCCCAGCACGCTCGGAAGAACATTTACCTTTTCACCTCTCTCTCTCTCTCTTTCCTTCTCTTCTTTTTTCTTTTTTTTCTCACTGTGCCCGTCCGTGTGGAGGCCAGGCAGTGGAGGGGGAGTGGCAGCGGCGCCAGGGCCCGGGGTGCTGGGAGGAGGGCCAGGTGCGGCAGGCACGTCTCCCCCGGCTGGGGCCACGAGGCCCGAGCTCCTCTTGGATTTGGAGTGCCGCCTCTCTTTGTGCTTCTCCTTGTCCTTCTTCTTTTTGCTCTTCTTCGACTTCTTCTTCTTCTTGATTTCCCGGTAAGAATCATCTATTACCAACTCCCCGGCCTCCAGCTCCCCACCAGAGGACGACTCGGATTCTACTAGGATAGGTTCGAGCCCTGAAAGGTCAAGGTTAGCACTGTGGGATTCTGGGCACTGGGCGGCGTCAGGCCCGCAGCCCTCAGGGCCGGGAGAGGAGTGTGGGTCTGAGGAGGACCTGTGCTTCTTCCGGGCTGTTTTCAAAAAGCTCTGCAGGTCGTGTCCCAGGAGCAAAGCACCTTGCTCGTCCCGAGCGGACTTCTTGGAGGGTTTTTTCACAGTCGCTTGTTGAGAGGGGTACTGAAAAGACTCCTCGTCAACTGAGCCGCTCCCTTTTTCCTTTGGTGAGAGAATGAGTTTCATCTTTAAGCCATCGGGCTCGCGAAGGGTGAGTGTCTCTGTGTTCACATAGAGGGGCTTCATCTTTTTGGGTTTGTGGCAGCCCCCATCTTCCAGAGGGAGCTCCCCACTGCTTCCACTGAGTTTCTTCCTGTGGTGCTCCTTTTTGCTCTCTGAATGACTGGAAGAGCTGGAAGACTTCTCCCCCGGCTTCCTGGGGGGTTTGGCACCTGCCGCCAGCGGGGAAGTGATGGCTTTCAGCAGGTCCATGGCGGTGTCAGCCGACTGCGGGCTGGACTTCTTCTTTTTCTTCTGTGACGATTCCAAAGACGGAATGTCTGGAAATAATGAAGAGAGGTGCTGTCAATGCGACAGGAAGCAACTTCTAACATGTGTCCTCTCTCACCAGAATAGCCAGCTAACACACAAGGAGGCTAACGGTTTGTGGGGAGGGCCTTTCACTGACTGCTAACATTCAGAGATGATGCCCATGGGCTTCTCGGCTTGGTGGAGTCTGCCTCTGACCCTGGAGACAGTTCTTGCCACTAAAGTTGCTTCTTTTCACTGAGTCTTCACGAGCAATCAATGAGCGCACAGCCAGAAGAAAGGACTATAGCTGTGGGATTAAGAGTAGTCACAGCTTAGAGTACAGACAGAACAGATTATCCGTTTCTGTGTGCAGGACAGACCCACTCTGGTAAAAGGTTAGTCTTGTCAGCTATGTTCATACCATAGCTAAGAAAAGTGGTTTTGTGAGTGGATATACACTGGTTGAGACGTGGCCCACAGGTGCAGACCAGAGGGTCCAAGGACTACAAATGACCAAAGGGATGCTAGATAACAACGGGCACAGATAAGTGGATGATTGAGGGGAGAAGGGACCTGGTACCTGGTGTATCACAAATGCAGACTGTTCTTCTATGCTGAATCCTCCAAAATACCAGCCCTCCACCTCTCTCCTCCTTCACACTGGTTTATCGGCACTCAGAACAAGAACCACTGTCCTGTTAAATAGGCCACTGAGTCAGCAACATCTGGATCCCTTGCCCCTACCCCGACTCCAAGAAGCAGAGATGTGCTCATCCCACCTGCTGCCCCTCCCCAGCCTCACCTCCATAGTAGTAGTCATCAGAGGAGTGCTTCCTCTTCTTCTTGTGCGTGTCCGTCCCCAGGAAGTAAAGTTCACTGTCCTGCAAGTAAGGAGGAAGAGCTGACCAGTTGTTAACACGATGAGGCTAACACAGCTTGGACTGCTCGGCGCTTTGATGATCACAGACTTTGGGAAGAAACAGTACAGGAATGAACAGATGAGAACTTTCATTCTTTTCTAATGTTTTAAGTAAACACTTTCTTCTCCAAATGTTAGGAAATACGGTAAGAAGTGGTTTAAAGCATCCCTAACTCAACTGTTTAGAACCTACCTTTAGTTTCTTCTTGGAAGAATTCCTGACCTGAGCAGCGATTTCTTCCTCTTCCCTCAAAAAGTCTTTGTAAGACCGTTTCTTTTCTCGTTGGCTTCGGCCGGCTGCGAGTCCGATGTCCTCAAAGCTGTGGTCCCCGTCAAAGCAATCTGAGAGGCACAGGTTCATTGGGGAAAGGAGATGAGAAAGTCAAGTAAGTAGTGATCAAATCACCGTGCTTGTAATGCAATGGTCCCTCTATTTCCAAATCACAATGTGGCACAAAATCCACTGGGATGCAGAGCTAGGCTCAGGGCACAGGACATTTCTTGATGACCTGGCTGCAAACACAAGAACCAAACCTGAACACCACCACTTCCATGCTATGCAAAGGCCCAGTGTGTAGCCCTCGGGCCTGGATTCTTAGTCGCGATGTAGCAGGTGGACAGAAGTGCAGAGGTAAGGCTGGAAAGCGTAAGGATTAATGTGCTGTGCTGCTCTGTGGGGGTCCAGTGTGTGATTCCTATCCCAGACTCCTGCACACTGGAGCTGGCAAGGACCACGAGTGCTGCAGGGGCTCACCCCGGTGGACTAAGAGACTCCTACTTCCGACTCGGGTGCTGGAATCCCTGACTTGGGTTTCGTCTCCATGGACCCGGTCTGGAGACGACGTGGAGGCTGGGTGTCCTAAGCGTGCTCTGGACCATCGCGTGGGAGGCTGCAGGGACTGGCGAGGACACCCCCTCTGGAATGCTTCTCAGATTAAGGGGCCATACCTTCTTTCTTCAGGGAGTCATCATAAGCCATGGCGGTCCTGCAGGGCCTTTGAGAATGTGCCACTGTGTCCAGGCGCCTTCCCGTCTACAGGACCAGGCCTGAGGAACAAAGAAGGAGAACCTTCCTGTAATGCGACATCACCGTGGGAAGCAACCTTCCAGACGGAAACGTGCAGCGCTCCAAAGGCTGGCTGCAAGGGCAGCAAGAAACCAAGGAGTGTCTTGTCACCTCCTCACGTTCTCTTTAAATATACTGGGATCAAAACCGCAGGAAGTATGCTGGGCTTAATTAGATTTGATTCATGAATTAAAGCGGTCTCTTGGGGACGTATATGAAATACTTTCCATATTTAAAAAAAAAAAAAAAGACTTCCAAAATGGCTGAGAATTTCTGAACTGCCAACAGGACTGTAACACCGAGACAGGTAAAAACCGACGTTAAGCCAGAGGGAAAGGTTTAATCCTGGTTACAAAATGCACAGATAAAGCAAGATGCAGAAAAAGAGATTACTCAAGACACTTGGAAGACTACAAAGTCCTGCCCACTGGGCTGGCCAAATGATACAATCTATTGCAGTGCAGTTTAAGCAGTGAAGACGGCAGTAGGATATGGATATTACAGCTCTGTAGAGCACCACAGTCTTTTCTCGCTTTTTCTATGCACTGTACTGGGCTATATGAATTTGCTCAAACCCATACATTGCAAAAGTAGGAATACTTTTTACATTGGTTGGCTATAGGGCAGCTGGACACTAACAAGTCCTTCTTAGAGGCCAGATGAAAATAGGGACAAGCCTCGTCTGCTCACTCCTGCTGACACTGACATGATTAGTAAGCTTTTTCATGAATTACAAGTTACAGTGGATGTGCCCAGTACTATGCTGGACTCTGGGGCGCCCATCGTGATTGGCAGGTGGCATTGCCACACACTGCACAGAAAGGTGGGCTCTTCAGGGCCTTTCCCGAGAAGCACTGTCACAGGTTCTGCAGAGAAAAGTCTGCAGGAAATCGTAAAACGCTCTCCAGTTGGTCAAACGCTTAACAGCTGATCTTCTTTGGTCATCTGTTTAAATTTTAACTTGCTTTTATTTTCATAATGGGAGTTAGAAATATTGAAGGCCATTTCAACTCCTCTCGGAGAGCTGTGGATGATACTGTAGCACATCACGTAAAAAATGAATCCAGTTAGCAAAACAAACTTTTATATAATGATTACATTAAACAAAAAAAAAAAAGTAGGGCGGAGGGAGAACAATTCCTTACAGAAGCCAGGTAAAGCACGATGCGCAGGAGAACAAAGTCAAAAGCCAAAATGGAGTGCTGAATGACCTGTGAGTAAGATCACCAACAGGGACATAAAAAGGCATTTCTTCACCTCTCTGGGAAGTGAAATGAGTAACAGATTTGCTCAAGGTAAGAAGAGCTGGAGTGAAGCAAAGAAACGGAATTAACTAGACTGTTCCATAGATAAACTGCAGGACTACCTACCCTTCGATTCTTTTCCTAGGAAACGAAGGGACTGCAAGTCCAGGCCTCACATAAGACACAAGGAGACAGGCCCAGGACGCAGCTGGCGCTCTACGTCCAGTGCAAACTATTCTTTCCTTCCCATCCCAGTTGTTCTGACTCCAAAAGGGGTGAAGGCTCGGGAGAGGAAAGGTCCTAGGGCGTCACACTTGTCATCTGAGAACTGCATATCCCCCCTGCGGCACTCTAATCCTGAGTTTATTAGAAAATCAGATGCATCACATCAGTTTTCCAGTTTGATGATGACAAGAGCTATACTTGAGGCCTTAAATTAAACACTTTGCGTGCCAAATGAATTCTGGCAAGGAATGTTGGATACAAAGGCAAAAAGTTCTCCATTAGGCAATGTCATAAACAAAGCCATCAATCTAGCGTCAATAACAAAATTCGGCTGTGAATGAGCTCAGAGGCCGACCCTGAGATCTCTAAGCAAGCCTTCCCTTTGGGAAAGCCAACGCTAACATACACCACAGCTGGGCAATGTAACAACAATAGGAGGTGCCTCGGAAGACAGTACGAGAAAAGCCACTGACTCACTGAATACAGAAAGGCTCCCACGGTCTCATTGACTATCTTGGAAAAGCAGGCAGGGGCCCACACAACTAGCATTGTGTACCAGAATTAGGCCTGCTATTTCAAGTTTCTTAACAACCCCAAGGAACATTTTATAAATTAGTAACCTTTGGGGAAAATGAATGGGGACTGACAAGAAGTCCCAAGAGTTGGGGCAGCTGAGAGCTTGAAAAGCCCAACGTGGTGGACTCCCTCCCTCAAGGCCTGGCTGACTGGTGGGCCCTGCATTTCCAGGTTCCTTGAAACCAGGGTCACACTGCAGCTCAGAGGTCTGTTTTGGGTGTTGACTCGAGAGAAGAAAGACGGTACCAGAGAAGGAAGTCTCATGCAAGAGCGGGGCAGGAAGGTCAAGTTCAGGCAACACTGACATTGGATGGGATAAACCCTTGCTGTTCCCTCCTTCCAGGTCTCGAGTACTACCCATGACCAATTTAGCGTTCAGGGTTTGGCCACACACTGCAAGGATTAGTGAAAAGGAAAAACACTAGGCTTGATTCCCACATTAGAAGACAGGTCACAATTACATTTTTGTTGGCACATGTCAAACAGGTTATGAAAATTCATCCTCCTGAATTCCACCATTATAAATGTCGATTTGGCAACTCCAAGGAGGGGATGGATTTTATAGGGATGCTCTTCTCAGTGTGCTAAGGGATGACGGTTTAGGTTCGTTCTTTCATATCATTTATGGAATAAGCCACGTTTTTTAAAAATGATTTTTAGTGAAATGTGCTTATGACTAAACGGCTCTCATGGGACTGGTCTTGAGGATATGAACTTGTATGTCCACAGATGCCACACTCAGGCACTCAGAGCAGGATCAAAGTGACTGGGAGAAAAACGAAATGCATCAGATGCAGTGTTGATGTTGCTTTGGAAATTCCAATCCTAAACACAGGAAAAGCTTCAGAAGGTGAGTTGGGAGGGGGTATGCACCCCCGGGGTCTCTCTAGCAATCTTCACGCCAGGACTAGAAGTGAATCTTGGAAAAAAAAAAAAAAGAGAGAGAGAATCCAGGAGTGCCACTAAACAGGCTGCAGGCGAAGCCTTAAGATGTAGTCTGGGCCAGGCGGGCGGCAGCCGGGGACACAGCATCCCTCGCCGTCACCTTGCCACATCACCAGAGGTCGCACGTTCCACTCTTGCCACTTGTAGACACTTCGTTGACTTCCCCCTAGGAGAGGAGCAGGTGCTGTCTTGTCATTCTCCACGAGCCTTCCTCCCATGGCCAAGCACGGCGAATTCCTGCCACTCCACGGACCTACCTAAGCAGCACTCACAGCCCCTGCCAGCTCGGGAAGCTTGCAGGGAGCCCGCAGCCTGCGATGGGGACGGAACCACGACCACCGCACAGATCGGCTGACAACACAAATCCCTCAGAGAACAGCGATACAAAATCTGACAAGCCGCCTCGATCAACAGGCTTTATTTTTGATTCAGTTTTTTTTTTTTTTAAAACTTATTCTGCTGTGAGCCACCAACTCAGCCAACAGAAAGGAGGGAGGCAGATTTTTTCTTTTGCATGAGACAAAAATAAAATAAAATAAAATAAAATAAAATAAATAAAAAACAGTGACTCTACAAGTAGTTGTGGAGGGAAAATGGGCCGGTGGAGATAGGAGACTGCCTCCTAGGAAGGCGCGATCGAAGTGGAAGCACGCAAAGAATACACACCATCCCAGGTTATGTATCCCAACTGCCGCCCCGGGACCACTGCTTTCTCTCTCTCTCTTTTTATTTTGTGGTCCCCACAGCAAACCAATGGGAGCCAGCAGGTTCGCAGCAACAGCTAGTTCCACGGAGCTGTGCGAAGAGGAGAAGCCAGCCCAGGAGCCGGCTCCGGGGAACCTGGCACCTGACAGCCCCACGGACCCCCACGGCGGCCGGCATCCCCCCAGCCGCCGCCCGCCCCGGCCCGCCCGGTGCCCGCGTCCCCGCCGGCCTCCCGGCGCCCCCGAGGGCGGAGACGGCCCGCGCAGGAGGAGGGGCGGCCCCGGCCCGCAGGCCCCCTCCCGGCCCCGCAGCTTTCCCGCCTTCCCCGTTTGAACAGCTCCCCGCCCGCCTTCCTCCTCCGGCCCCGCTCCGGCTCCTTCCCCAAGGCGGCCGCGGCCGCTCACTCCAGTCACCGGCTCGGCCCTCGGGCTAGGCCTCGCCGGGCCCGGGGCGCCCCCGCGGCAGTGTCGCGGGCCCAGGGCGGCGGGCGGCGACAGGGCGGGGCCGCTGTTGCCTCAGGGTGGGAGCCCAGCCCGGCCTCGTGGGGGCTCCGTGCGCCGCTACCTTCACTCGGCTCGCCCGGATCCCGCCTCGGCGCCGCCGACCGCCGCCATCTTGGAGAAGCAGAGAAAGCGCGAGCGGCCAGGGAGCCTCAGTCGAGCTCAGAGCGCAGACTCCGGCTCCGGAGGGGGAATCCCGCTCGAGCGAGAGCGCCGAGCGCATCGAATAAGAACTCCGCGCTTGCTGAGCTCGGAGCTGGTCTTGGAATTGCCCTGAGCCGGGCTCGGACTGGAGGCGTTGCGAACAGGTCCTTTGGTCTTCACTCTGTATTCCAGTGAGGTCGTTTTTATGTCTTATGTCAAATAGGCTCGGATATGAATGACTTTTCTAGTTGGAATGGGAGACGGGATACTGCCTCTGATACTTAATGCGTTGCGTTTCCCAAAAGCCTATGCAGTTTCTTTAAGATAATTAAACGCAGCAGTTTCCCCTCTTTGCAAATCCCAGGTCTGTGCGGACTAATAGTAGAAAGGCTTATCTGGAATCCCAGCACCTACATTTGGATATTTGGCCTGGACCCCTCTGTCTTTGTTGACTGTGCCCTGTAAAATAATTTGCTGTTCATTATAGTTCGTTAACGTTTAGAGGCAGTCTTCCATGAGATGGAGAGATTTACTTATAGGCGAGAGCTGAATTTATGAATTTGGGCCAATGAGTAGAAACGGCAGTGCAGAACTTAGCTCAAGCAGGAGGACCTGGGTGGCTTGCCCAGTTGAGTACAGTACAACGGGCCGCAGGTGAGCAGCGGTGAGCATCCTGCTCTGTCACAGAGCAGAAAATACCGTAGTTACTGCAGAGCAGACAGGTTCCAGATAGAGACTGGCTTCTAAATGCCATTGACCTCCACGCATAAGCCCGTGTGGTGGTGCAAGAACCACCGCTTCTCTCTTCTGTGCAAGCCGGCAGGGTTGCCTGTGTGTCATGTGCATTCATGAGGCTCTCCCACGTCCACACAGCTTCAGGAAAGGCGGTCTGGGCCTTATCATGGGGAGTGGCGTGGTGTGGTAGCACAGACAGGGGGCCATTCCTGGTGGAAGGGCTCGGAGGGACTCAGCGTCTCGTCATGTCCTCGGAATGACAAGCAGTGGCATTTGCCAGCGTGTGGCATCATCCGTTCCTGGGAACCCTAGGGGAGACTACTGTAGGTTGAGCTGTTATCACCCATGACTTATATGGTACTATATCGTATGGCGCTGCACTCGTGTGTAATTGAATCAGATCCGTAAGTAGTTTTTTGGTAACAACTTGTATTTCACAACTTCCTTGGCTTCACCAGCTGCTGCGGTTCTGGATTCAGGTCGGGGAAGGGTGGCCCAGGTGGAATCAGGTACGCTTCCGGGTTGAGGGGGTGTGGGAGGTGGGGTCACAGTCATCAACACCCAGGGCCTGAGTATGGAAGAGGAGGTGTTCCCCGGACGGAGACAGCTCCGTGGCACTGCAGGAAGTTCCCCTGGAGTCGTTGGCTGTGATGCTCAGCCCGTGTGAGCGGAGATGCTACCCCAGGCCGGGGAAGGACCAGCTCGAGAGGGTCAGAGCGCCCGGCTCAGGCAGTGCTGGGAGCAGTGTGGATCTCCAACAGCCGAGGTGCGACTGCCAGTGGATCACTTGGTAATGATCACTTAGGCTAGAGGCAGCCACGAGCCCGCCTGGCAAAGCTTCAACACGAGTTTTGAAGTGATCCAACTACCTTGATGTCTGTATCAGAGGACAGAGCCTCAAGCTTATCCATGAAAAGTGCCAAGCATGGAGAGTAGCAGGGAAGCAAGAACAGACAGGGTAGAAAAAGCCGTTGCTGCAAACAGGTCTAGAAAAGACACGACGATACAATTAGAAACAGTCAATAGGGGCTGCTGCTGTGGCATAGCAAGCTAAGTTTCTACCTAGGGTGCTGGCATCCCATATGGGCATAGGTTCAGATCCCAGTTCTACCTTCCTCTTTTTTTACAAGAAGAAGGAATGTGGGAAATGGGGTTTTCAAAGGTTCATTTACTTTTATTGGAAATGTAGATCAGATTTACAGAGAGAAGGAGAGACAGAGAAAGATCTTCCACTCACTAGTTCACTCTCCAAATGACTGCATCGGCTGGAGTTCAGCTGATCTGAAGCCAGGAGTCAGAAGCTTCTTCTGGGTCTCCCATATGGGTGCAGAGTCCCAAGACCTTATGCCATCCTTTATTGCTTTCCCAGGCCGTAAACAGGGGGCTGAATGGGAAGTGGAGCAGCTGGGACATGAACCGGCACCCATATGGGATCCTAACACTTGTAACGTGAGGACTGAACCATTGAGCCATCGTGTTGGGCTTTCAACTGCTCCACTTTTGATCTAGCTCCTTGCTAACGCATCTGGAAAAAGCAGTGGAAGATGGCCCAAGTACTGAACCTGTGCACCCATGTATCAGATTCAGCTAAAGTTTCTGCATCATAGTTTTGGACCGTCCTAGCTCTGGCCGTTGCAGCCATTTGGGGAGTGAACCGGTGGGTGAAAGATCACCCTCCTTTTTTCTCCCTCTCTCTGTACTGCCTTTCCAATAACAATAAAAAAAAATTATGTCCAAGAAGGTGCACGAAGCGGGGATTAAGCACATTAAACAGAGACATGAAAGATAGAAAAGAGATTCAGGGAACAGTGGTTCTGGGAGGAAGAACTAACTATTGTTTTTCCTATTTATCTTGCCAAGTGTAGTTAAAAGCCCTGGACTTGCACTAGCAAAATGCTGAAAGGTGGAGAGCAGGTGGCTCAACCAGGAGCCTGGGACCTAAAGTAAAACCTCGTGAGATAAATTCCCTGGAGATTTTTTTTTTCCCTGATGTGTAGTAGACCAGGTGCTGGAGAAGTAGAAAAGCTCTTGGGGAAAAAAAAATGACAGGGCAGACAAGGAAGTCTCAACAGATATATGCTCTTGGCAGCTAGAGGGCCAAAGACGTACCAACCCAGGAAAAGAGAGAGCTTTTAGAAAGAATGGCTCTGTGCCAGTCACACACCCCGGAAGAACTTGTAGCTCCACACAACCCGTGCCCCTAAACGTTGAATGGGGAACCTGGTTCTCCACCCTCACCAAGCACCCCAACCCTCCTCCCTCTACTCCATTCCGAGCCCCAGGTGGTATTGATGGCTGCCAGCTTAGACGCAGAATTCGTGGGGAGCCCAGACTTCAACCACCCCAGCTGTGAGACCCCAGTAATGAGACACCCTTCTTGTCTGGCATGGAGTTAGAGGAGATCTAACAGGGAGTGAAGACCTTCACGGCACCCTACACCCTGGAGTGAGTGGAGGCCGGGTAGAGAGCAGTAAGGAGAGAGATCATGTGGGGGACGTGGTGTGAGGCACCCCTACATCTCCGATCTAGGCAGATAGCAGCAGAATGCTAACACAGTGCCAGAACTGCTTCTGCCGTGGTGGCAACCTGCACTTCTAACTTTAGTTGCCAGAAAGGAGCTGTGGGGTCAGATGCAGGCAACTATGTAAAAGGCTGAAGTAAGATCCAGAGTCTCATGATACACCGCTCGGAGCATGCCAGGCTTGATGGCAAGTCACCCAGCACACCAGGCAGATCCAGAGTGGGATGAGAACGGACACTGAGCAGATGCCAACAGTAGGATGGCAGCGATCTCATTCCAGCAGGCACCACGGTGTGGTGAAGTAGATGGAAAATATTGAGTCTCAGCAAAGAAGCCACTGAATGATGATAGAGCATTTCTGAGAAAGAGAGAGCGACTTAAATGGTTGCAGTGGCCAGGGTTCGTTCAGGTCAAAGGAGACTGGAACTCCGTCCAGCTTCCCTTCATAGAAACCAGGTGCCAAAGTACTTGGACTCTCTTCTGCTGCCTTCCCAGGTGCATCAGGAGTGAGCTGCATAGAAGGAAAACAGTGGGGAGACTTGGTCTGAATTCTTAGAAGTGTCAATGGCATGAAGAGGGCAGGCAGGTGGCCAAGGCTGGGAAGGCATTCAGCTCCATCCAATGAGTGATCCTGAATCTCCTTATGGGCAGAGCACCCCACGGAGGCAACTGGTCCCGATTTCAGTCACTGAACTGTGGTGTTGTGGGAGCATGCCCTGGTTTATAGGACCATGCACTGCACTGGTGGGAGCAGCGGAAGCCCACTTCTGTGCTGAAATGGAAGTAGCTTGCAAGATGATGTCCTGCTCAGAGACAGTTCTTGCTGTTTCTCACCTTGGCAGTGACGTGAACGCGATACACAGGTGCCGTGGAAACCACATGTGCAATTGTGAATTTTGATCTTTTTTTTTTCCCCCAAGCTGGCAACAGGCGACACAATATGAGGGTATTTCAAAAAGTTTGAGACAAATGGAATGAGAATGTAGTTTTATTTCGGTGCAAAGCATTTTGCTACCTATGCGTACAAGGGGTCATCAGAAAGCTCGTGGGCGTGCATGTGAGCAAAGTATGATGCGTGCCTGGGGAGAGCGTGGTGGCTCCTAGGTGAGGCTGCTGTGCCTGGGGAGAGCGTGGTGGCTCCTAGGTGAGGCTGCTGTGCCTGGGGAGAGCGTGGTGGCTCCTAGGTGAGGCTGCTGTGCCTGGGGAGAGCGTGGTGGCTCCTAGGT